ACACTGCTGGAAATCAGGGTTTTAGAGGCGTTTGAAAAACGCCGCTATAAGTCTTAAAAACGCCGTCAAATCTTTTTGTGGCGTTTAGCACTAAACGTCGAAGATGCGGCCGTCGCTATAACTCTATGGCGCTTTAGAAACGTCACTATATTACTATAAAGCGCCGCTAAAAGTTCTTCTAATTGTAACATTCTTTTTCCCAACTATTTAGCGACGTTTTTAAAAACGCCGTGATAGCCCTTTCTTTAAAAAAAAAATTGTGCTAATTTTTTTTAAAAATACCTATAATAAAACTAAAATAGTACTAATATAAAATAATAATAACTTCCATTCATATAGTAAAATCCTATTAAATGATAGTCCACAATCATTGTGCAAAAACAAAACATTCACATAAATCAAACGGTGTATGTTACACAAAAATATTTCATATTTCTCGCACCCTAGAAATCTTCATATGGTCATTGGAGAGTTACTGAGTTAAGAATAAGTCATCAATGCAAATAAACTCTCTATTTCAAATACAAGAACCAACAAAAAAAATTAAAAAATTAAAAAATGTCATAACAACTGATAGTAATATTAGTCCTCGGACTACCAGGTCACCAGCTAAAGTAGCAAACACCAGACTTTCTTGTCCATCAGCATTCTTCTTTAGATCTGCCAATCTGACGGCGCTAACAAAAGCAATCTTGCATACCACCACACATTCTGGATTAGGAGAACCACCAGGGACAAGCTGCATTACGCACAAAATGTTAGAATTGTAGAATACAAAATCAATAGGACTCAGCTTCTCAAACAAAATCAATAGGACACAGACACCATGCAAAAGAAATTTAGGGATTCAAACGACTATTTTGGCAAAAAATCATTACAAGATCTTGAACTTCCATCACAACATAAAAGCAGAATCATAGTACCTATGAATCTTGCTGAAATAAGAAGTTGGTTTGCTCCATCCCACTAATCTAGAGAACTGCAAGGAAATCAATATTCCAGCATGTATAGAAAACCGTTAGCAGTAATAAAACATATCGTACTAAATAATCCAACCCAACAGCAATAATAAAACATATCGTACTAAATAATCCAACACAACAGATAACTAACTAAATCAATAAAAAGCAGTGCTAAAGACTACCCTAAATAAAAGTATAAAAGCAGATGATCGCTAGCCACTAACTCATGAACAATGGCAACTTCAAAACTGAAAAATGCTTGCATTTAAACAAACACCAACAAATAGCATGCAATTTGTCGTACCTGCTGTATAGGAAGATATTTCCTTCAATAATTGAATATTGCATCCTTCTCGTTTACACCAGCACTGCCATGGAATTGAAGTTCCACCTGGTCATCAATTTAGTAGAGGTAAATAAAAAGATCCATTAGGTTAGAGTGACAACACTTCTCTAATCCGATTTTACCATGTGAAGAGAGTGACTATAAAATAGACTTAAATTCCAAACCTACATGTTTCCCAAGAAATCAAGGTGCATCAAATCCAAGCCAACTGTACACATCAAAGGCTGACCACATTGCACTCCAAACAATGTGCAGACAAGGATCTCAGACTCCCTTTGGTCTTGCTGCTTTTTAATTTCTTTAGAGCATTGTCACACTGTTTGATACTAGCAGCATCTACCTGCAGGTTCCCTATCATAGTTTCTTGTACACTATTGCCCTTCTCTACATTGATATTTCGTTATATATATATATATATATATTCTTTTTAATGACGAGAAACTTCTTTAAGATGATTAAATTGGATTCATTTCTACATAATAAATTTTGAATACCCATAATCATTTGCAAACTACAGACATCAAATAAATCCAAGAAACCTCCATAAGATAGCGCCAAATTGGATCCAACTCTGCATAGTAAACTCCAAATACCTACAATCACAATAAATCAGAAATATCAGCTAAGCTCAATAACTGCTATCAATAGTCAAACTTAAAATATCTCAATTTACAGTTTATTCCAGAGTTTAATGCCTTTGCCACGTGGATAACTATGACTTTTCAACCAGCTAGACTCAAAGGAGGTATTTAAAAAAAATGATAAGAAATAAGGCTTCCATATTCTTTAATCACATTGTTTATGCATATTTTTAAATGCATTGTTTATTCATATGTATAGTATCATATTTCTTATGTCCCCAAGCCCAAGAGAATGTATTCTTTTCCCCACATGCCCTCTATTGCCCTCTCAGTCCTGACAATCAGAAAATAAAGGGGAAAAAACAGGGAGAACCCAAAATAATGATGGATCTTGTCGGTTATATCTAAAAACACACAGAGGTGAACATTCCAGATTCCAGTAAAGTAAGCAACAAAATGGAGGAAAAGTCATTCCCAATCTCTCTACAACAATTGCAGCAGTCCAAAGATTAGCATCCACTGCAATCTCAATTTTTCGTAGAACAAAATTTTCATACAGTAAAATTATGCAAAACCCAAATGGAATTAGCTTGTATACATCGTAAAAACTTCCACAAAGATAAGACAAACCTGTTTTGGATCACGAACAAGCTCCATTGCAGCATTGTCAACATACATGTGGGAGAGTTCAACATGAGGATACTCTGCCTCCAAAGCATTGATGCTTGGTCAATATCACAAAATAATAGAACTTAAAAAATATAGAACAAGAGTTCTAATTTTATCCTCATTTATTTACCAGTATTATTTACTTTCTAGAGAAGGGAAGATGATCTTTAGAATTTATGCACAAGTTGCATTAAACAACATGAAAATGTATATTTATAGAGCCTCTAAATCAGTGGGCACAAGTTGCATTAAATAAACCATATTTTTTCTTTTTCTGTGTGGTCTGAGTACATTGCAACAAAATTTTACTTTTAAGAGAAAAGATGATGCAAGATGAGAGTTTCCTAAATCAGTGGGCACAAGTTGCATTTCAAATTTCTCAACCAAACACAGCGTTAGTTTCTTAAGAACATCAAATAATCTGTTTGTTTGTTTTTTCTTTTTTCAATTTACAAACCTTTTTAACATTTGGAATCCTCCTTGTTTCTGATCATTTTTTATACATGTATTAATAGATTTTCATCTTTCTATGGCTACAGGAAAAGCCGGTAATAGTAGCAAAGTGTTGTGATTAGCATTTCACATTAAAACCTAGCATAACTCAATTCAGTGACCACTTTATAAAGAAATTTACTAACCACCATCATCAGTGAAACAACACATCATCTCAAATCTATGCACAAATAACTGATTTGCGAAGAATTAAAAGTGTACTCAGAATAATTGGATTGTATAGTAAACATAGTATGAGGACAACCCCTACACAATAACAGCAGTACTTTCTTAGGGAGAGACAAATGAGATGGTCTGGCCAGAAACAGACCACAATGAGAGCCCACTGAACAATGGTTGTCAATATGTAAGTTTATAACCAAAATTTGGAAATGACTTTCATAGTATTCTGACAACAAGCCAACAGCAGCCCTCAATCCAGATTTGACAAAAACATGCACAATTTTAATGTTTTCAATCCTATGTTTGTTTCTCACCGCCAAAACAAAAGTAAATGAAATGAAAAGAAATGAAATTAGAAACAATTTAACCAAAACAGAAGTAAACCTTCTGCAGGCAGATTTAAATGCATAACCAAAACAGAAGCAAACCTTCTGTAGGCAGATTGGCATGCATATTGGCAGATTGAAAACCTATACTGGACCCAAGCCAGAAGCTGTTTGGATGTGTTCTTTAGCAGAAGGTTCATCCTGAGGTTTCATGGCCGGAAAGAGTAGAACTTCTTGTCCCCAAACCAAAAAACAAAACAATTGACACTTGAGTAAAAAAGCTCAGTCGAAAAAACTTTCTATTGTAGAATGTGAAACTTCCCACGTCCAGCCAAACACACCCAACCCCAACCCCACCAAACCAACACTACCAATAAATTAAACAAATGAAAAATCACCAGCAAGGAAATCCAAAACCACAAACTGATAACACATGAACATTTCACACAAACCACACAAAGGTAAAACACAAACCTTGATGTTCTGCCAATCTGTCATCATCATTGTTAGTCGGTCAATACCCAGTCCCCAACCACCAGTTGGGGGCAAACCATACTCGAGAGCCGTGCAAAATGTTTCATCCAAAGCCATTGCATCATCGTCACCTGATTGTTGGTCCTGAAATTTAATCATACAAAAATCTTCAGTCAAGGCACCCCACACAACATGACTTTACATGCCACAATGATTCAATTCCTAATGATCATAATACCTTGAGTTGGTCAGCAAACCGTTGGCGTTGTACCACAGGATCATTCAACTCCGTGTATGCATTGCAAACCTACGTACAGAACATAGATGGCATGCAAGGAAAAAATATAAATATAAGTATATATATACATAATCCTTAGAAAATCACTATTTTAAAAAAATAACAATAATAAAGAACTAAATAGAAATCCTTAGCTGGTATGACATACTTCACGCTTGTTAACAAATAATTCAAAACGTTCAGTCAAGCTTGGTTTTGTCCTATGCCACTTTGCCAATGGACTCATAATCTCTGGATGGTTAATAATGAAAGTAGGGTTTACACATGTCTCCTCCAGAAAGTGCCCCACAAGCTGCATTCAGAAATCTAATCATTAATCATATATAACACAAAAATTGTGGTCTAATTTTAAGTTGCAACATCATCACTCATAGAATCCATGCTCTGTATTCCTATGATTGAAGTCAACTTAGATTTCATACTAATTTATTTCAATAGAGGACACAATATGAGTAGAAATGAAAAATAAATCAGCAAAACACTATTCTACTTCTATACTGGCAGTGGCAGATGCATTTTGAAATGAAAGTGCTACTACAAATCAAAGTAAACATAGGAACAAACAAGACCTAAAAAATCACAAATATGCTGGCTAATTGAAAGAGAACAATGGCTGAAGCAACCAACACCAATTTAAAACTTAGAGGGCTGACTTTAATAATAATAATAATGATGGTATCAATAAAATATCAAAAACAGAAGGGATTATTAAATTTGATTATTAAACAACATGTAACCCAAGTGAAGAGACTCGTTAATTAGATTGAGGTAAAGAAAATAGAGATAAATATAATTTGATGTTGTGAACTATATTCTATGGGCACCTCAATTAGTAGCTCAATTTCAAATGAAAATGTAATGTTAAAAAAATTTAAGGACAATGATGCCATTGATGGCAGTAATAGATTCCAGAAAGATATATTTGACAAAGAACTATAATTTTGCAATTCATATATATGTATGTATGTATGTATTTTGTGTTCAATTTTAACATCTACAATACACATTATGATCTTCAATCGATCAATAGATCTTCAATCGAAACCTACCATACTTGAATCGAATCAATAGATCTTCAATCTGATCTAAGAATGATAAAGCAGATGAAACCTAGCATACTTGAATCGAATGATTCCGTCAGTAAGAAGATAGAGATGAGACAGATCAACACTTACTATGAAGAAAGAGCTGCGAACGCGAACACGAACTAGAGAAGAGGCTTGAATCGATCTATGAATACTTGAATCGATCTGCAAACACGAAGGGGTTCAGCTACGATTCTACAAATATGAAGGGTTGTCTCTGAAACGAAGGGGTTTGAAGCGAGAGAGAGTGAAATCAAGGGTTTAGAGGGAGAGAGAGCAAGACTGAGAGTGAATAATACTTTAATCGATCTACGAATACATGAATCGATCTGCAAATACAAAGGGGTTCAGCTGCGGTTCTACGAAGGAGTTTGAAGAGAAGAGAGAGAAAGAGAGAGAGTGAAATCAAGGTCAGAAAGAGGGAGACTCAGAGAGAGTGAATACACTACTTCATCTTCTCATATGTTAAAAAAATAAAAAATAAAAAAACACATTCGGAGGCGTTTTTAAAACGACTTCTCATATAAAAAACGGTGTCGTATTATTAAATAAAAAATGCGACGTTTATAAAAACGCCGTTAAATGTTAAAAGTAGAGGCATTTTTTTAAACGTCGTTAAATAAACGCCGTTAAATCCCAATATTCTTGTAGTGACTGCAAATGACATTCCACTACCACAACTACTACCACTGTTGCCACTCCGCCTCTACGACTATCATTACTACCACCATCACCACCACTTCACTACCACCATTACTACTACCATTACCTCTTATCTATCACCGCTACTCTATCTCCTCTACCACTACCACAACTTCACCACTAATCTTATCGCTATCACCACTACCGCCACTATCACCTCTTATCCACCACCTTCACCACTACTGCCGCTCTCTATCCTCTACCACAAAATATTAGTTCATGATTTTTAGTAACCCCCAATCTCCCCCCCTTGGCCCGCCATTTTTTTTCCATTCCCGCTCGGGTTACCAAAAACCCCCAATCTTGTCTCTTTGTCTCTGTCTCTGTCTCTCTTCTCTTTCTCTCTCTCACTCATCACTCTTCTCTATCTGTCTGTCTGTCTCTGTCTCTCTGTCTCTGTCTCTTTTCTCTTTCTCTCTCTCACTCATCACTTTTCTCTGTCTGTCTGTCTGTCTCTCTCTTTCTCTCTGTGTCTCTCGTCCATCTCTTTTCTCTCTCTTCTCTTTATCTCTCTCTGTCTTTCTCTCGTTTATATCTTTTCGCTCTTTTTTCTCTATTTTTCTTTATCTATCTCTTTTCACCCATTTTTTCATCTTCCTCTCTCTCTTCGCTTTCTCTCTATTACTCATCACTCTTCTCTATCTGTCTGTCTGTCTATTTGACTCTCCCCCCTCTCTCTCTTTGTGTCTCTCACTCATCTATCTCTTCTCTCATATCTTTTCTCCCTCTATCTCTTTCGCTTATCTTTCTTCTCTCTATCTCTCCCGCTCATCTCTCTTCTCTCTTTGTCTCTCTCGCTCATCTTTCTTCTCTCTGTCTCTCTCGTTCATCTCTTTTATTTCTCTGTCTCTTTTTCTGTGTCCCACTCTCTACCTCTCTCTCTGTCTCTTTCTCACTCATCACTCTTCTCTGTCTGTTTGTCTGTCTTTGTCTCTGTCTCTTTCTCTCTTCTCTCTTCTCTTTATCTCTCTTCTCTTCATCTCTCTCATTTCTCTTCTTTCTCTATCTCTTTTGCTCATCTCTCGTCTCTCTATCTCTGTCTCTCTCACTCATCTTTCTTCTCTCTCTGTCTCTGTCTTTTTCTATGTCTTTCTCTCGATCATCTCTTTTCGCTCCCTTTATCTCTCTCTTTGTCTATCTCTCGCTCATCTCTTATTTCTCTCTCTTTTTCTGTCTGTCTGTTTGTCTCTATCTCTTTCTCTCTCTCTCTGTCTCTATTACCTCTAATCTCCTTTGTCATCACCATCACCACCACCATCACACCTCTTATCCACCACATTTACTATTATTGCTGCTCCCTCTTCTCTACCACAAAAAATTAGCTCTTGATTTTTAATAACAAAAAAAAATGGGTCACAAAAAAATATTTTTCATTGACCATAAAAAATTAATTTTATTTTAACAGAAAATATTTTTTATTAAAATATTACCTCTACTTCTACAAAATAAAAAAAAATTATTAAAATAAAAATAAAACAAATTTTCCTCCTTTTTTCACTGACTCACTGGACGGCCCGCCCAAATTTTCCTCTTAATTTCCCCCATTTTTTTTCCCTCTGCCTTTCCCCGCCCTTTTTTTCATTTCCTTTCAGTTTTGTAGAGCCCTTAATTTCGCGACACTGTTTCAAAACAGTGAGCAAACCTAATCTGAGAGAGAGAAGATAGAGGGTTTGAAGAGAGACTGGGGTTGAAGGGGAAGGGTTTCAATCGGCGGCGAGACTGGTTCAGCTTTCGTTTCTCTCATAAAAGGAGTCTACCTAATAGCCTTGGACTCTTCGTTTCTCTCATACTCCTCACCTCTCCCACAAAATCCCATTTTTTTCTCAACTTTCTGGGTCCGATTTTTATCTCTTTTTCCCTTATTATTATTATTATTTTGGGTGTTATATATGATTTATACTGGTATTTGTATATGCAGATCTAATCTTAATTTGGCTTTTTATGATGTGGGTTTGATGTAGATTTTGAGCGTACCCAGAAATGGAGAGTGGTTTGGATCCCCAGATGAGCAACACCTCTCATGGGTCGGAAGATGAGTCTTTGATGGAGATGGGATCTGGAAGTTTTTGGTAATTCTTTACTTTTTTAATTTTTTTTAAATATTTACAATTTCTAACCCATTTGTTTGTTTAGATTCTCTCACCTTTTTTTTTTGGTTAAAATTTGGAGATAATATATATTTGTGTATATATAATTGTCAGGTGCTCACATTACAGAAGGAGATGCAAGATCAGAGCACCTTGTTGTGATGAGATATTTGATTGCAGGCATTGCCATAATGAATCCAAGGTCTTTTAATTTTTAATTTTTAATTTTAAAAAGTTTTTTCAAGTAATATTACTGCTACTGCTAATGTTGTTAGTTTTAGTTTGTTTTTGTCCTGCCAAAAAAAAAAAAAGAAGTAATTTCATGGTATTTTTTAACATAATTTGCTAGAAATTGATCATCTCAATTGGCATGAAATTCATGCTGTTAGTTTTAGTTTCTTTATGTATTTAAAACCAAAACTAAAACATAAAAAAATAAAAAATAAAAATTGATTTGGTATTTTCAAACAGAATTCGCTTGAAGTTAATCCAATATACAAGAAAATGAAAGGAAAAGAGAAAGAGAAAAAGGAATTTCTAAATCTAAATAGAACTATTTAGAAAGTTTACCTCAAATGTCTATCACTTGTAAGAGCTGTATAATATATTTCTCTCACTGTTAACACTTTAGGTAGGTCTTCGTTCTTTGGTTTGCAACTTTTTAGTTTCAAATATTTTGTCTACTACAAGAACTTCAAGCTTCAGTGGACGTGGGTGGGCTTATCAATGTCATAATATACTAAACAAGTAGATATTTGTGAAGCAAGTTGACAAAAACGAAAGAAGTTCTTATTCATCTTAATGAACCTTTCTAACATTTTTTTAATTTTGATAAAAAATGAACATTTTAACAACATTAATTTCTTAAATGTTCATTTATCTTTTGCACCAATGCTAACAAAAATTAAACCATTCATGTGTTGTGTATCATATCATTTTATCATATGCATCATATTTGCACCTTAAGATACATTCAATATAAGATTTACCCCTGGCCAGTTCTGCCTGTAGGGCCAGGAGCTGGTTTGGGGAATCATAGAGCCTATGGAATCCCAACTGGCTCATGGGTTCCCGCCCCAGCATGTATTAGTGATACATATCAATTTACCTCTAAATGGATTGGGTCGTGAATTATAAGATACTGACAAGACTTGTACTAATAGACATGAGAGACATGCTTATAATGTGAAATATGAATTTTCTTTTTTTCTTTTGAAGATGTCATTCAAAGGATACCTAACTTTTTGATGGTTTTGAATACTTTTAACAGTTTAAAAAAATAAAGGATGCTATTGAATCGCACAACACTGCTCGTTGCAGCATTGGTCCAACTAAGGGTGTTGGAGATCTTAACCTTGAAGCTTTATCTGCTCCACAGAAGAAAGGAAATGAGAAGATTTTTATTTTGATTCAGGCTTCTGCCTATAATTTGCATCCCCCCATGTTTGTGGCCATCAAAAGTGATGTCTGATATATTATTTTGTAAGTTTTCATTTTTCTTTGTGAACAAAGTAGTAACTAGACGAGGTTACACTACTGCTGCATTCTTTGTTGTCGTCGTTCTACCTGTGATGTAGAATTCTTCTACTTTCAGAATTCCCATGAAAATGAAATTCCACCAGGCTGATATAGCATAATCAAACAGCCTTTGACACCACTTTGCTCATAACCAACATCACATATCTTATAATCATTAATCAAATAACTCATAATCATTAATCAAATATCTCATAACCATTACCCACATATCTCATAACTAACATCACATATATCATAACTACTAATCACATATCTCATAACACCCTTTGGCTCATAGTCA